CTTCTGTATCAGTTTCGCTGAATAACGTAGGTCCTTCTTCTGTTTCACATGTGACTCAGAAATCTGGCGATTTTGAGAGAGACCGTGACAAGGAACATATTTTTTGCTACAAAGTAAAATTTGGACATTTTTTAATCATCCAATGTAGTACTTTTGCCAAATTTTTTTTGTATTAGGTGTGGTTATTTTTAACCAGAGGATTAACAAAAAAATTTCGACTTTCAAAATCCATTTATGTGATGAAATTTTTCATTGCAGAAATTGATTAAATTATCTTAAACAACAAAATTAACCTTAAGCTCGTAAGCTTATAATCAAAATGAAAAAATTTTAAAATAGTTTATCCTTCCTGACCAATATTAATAACCAATACAGGAAAATCCATTTTATTGGTTTTGCCTTTTAAATTCAAACAAGTGCTTCAGAAGTCACAGTAGATAATTTGACTTAATCAAAACATAATTAAAATTAACTTTTTTAAGATTCATATTTTCCTTTTTTTTCTCACTACAGAGTATAAGTTTATGTCATTAAGAGCATTTGCCTTTTTTTTGTTCAGAATTGCTTATAACATTTTATTATTATATGCAATATATGCATAGATTATATTATAATATTATTATTGAATATTTCTTAAACATAATTGTTATTTTTAAAACATTTAGAAATTTGTTATCAAACTAGTAAATGTTAATAACTCACAATAACTATAATGTTTTTGATTTTAATTCAAAGCATTATTTCAGAATTTTTTAAATTCTGAAAAAATACTTAGAGAAATAAGTAAATTTATAACACTTATAACTATAATATTTAATTTTTTAATTAAACTAAAAGAAAAGAAAGAAATCAGAACTTTTATTACATATTTATGATTATAATTTCAAAAATTCTGAAAAAATGATTTGAGAAATAAGTAAATTTATATCACATAAAAATGAGAAAGCTTAAAAAAGGGATGTTTTCATAATTTATTATTTAAAAGATTCATTATTTGCATATTGTTTAAAAATTGTGATAATGCAAAAACAGTCTTTAGCAAATTTGTGTCAAATCTGTGGATTTGTTACAAAATATGTGCATTAGCAAATATTAAATCCAATTTTCTTCTGCCAAGAAAATAAATATTTCATGTGTGCATTGAACGGCATAACATTTTGAATAATACAGATCTGTAAGTCAGTTAGTGTCAGAAAAGGATCGACACAATGTACATCGTCGGTGAAGTATCTCAAGACAGGGGGGAGGGGAGATCTCTCACTCATTGGGTGAGTGTATGTATGAATATATATATATATATA